ATGCATACCTGCATGCATACATGCAAGCATAAATACATGCATGTTTATAAACATACACATACATACGTACATGCATACATGCACATGCATACATACAAACAAGCACGTTTATAAGTCTGCCAACACACTTTTTTAACACAACACTTACGATCAAAGCATGAAAATCTGCAGGACTTACTTGAATTTTTGAGAATCGCATAGTAGGGCGTCTCATGTTTTGTCTAACTTACAGCACAGCTACCTAAAACAAAAAAGTAAACGTGTACTCAGAGTGTTGTACAAGATAACAAACACATACACCTACATGGATACATACAAACAGACATGTATACGTACATGCATACGTACATACATACATACAGAAATGCATGAATGCATGCATACATACATTCATACATACATATATGCCTACAAACATACATACATACATACTAAGATTCATACATACAAACAAGCACGTTTATAAGTCTGCCAACACACACCACCTACGATCAAAGCATTAACATCTGTAGCACTTACTTGAATTTCTGAGAATCGAGTAGTAGGGCATCATACATTTTATTTAATTTGCAGCACTGCGGGATGAGTTACCTAAGAAGTAAAGTTCATTTGGTATGCGTTTGGTGTCGGATAACATGCGCATAATGTACATACATACATACGCACATACATAGATATTTACATGAAAACGTATAAACATATACGTATGTATCCATATGAACGTACAAGCATGTATATATACATACAAATATATATGCATAGCTATGCAGGTGGGCATGTGCATACCCTCTACTTTGTGAGACCGGAGACGGGTCCGCCTATGCCTGGATATCTGCAGGACTTTTTCTATGGTGGAAAGACGACGACTCGGTGCTGCAGACTCGGGGGATAGAAGAGGCGACAGCACCTATTCAAGCATGGATACGTGGGATCTCGACCTTGCGCCTGCTTCGTTTTGTGGCCTGGTACATTGTTGCACCACCTTTGGCCAGAGGAGCGCATATAAAATCAAGTTGTCAGCTCTGGAGGGTGAATAAATAAAACACAAATGTTTCTAAATTTGTTTGTTTTCGTTTTTTTGTTTGTTGGATTTTAGGCATTTTGTTGCATTTATTTCTCATTGTTGCATTTTTTTTAACACATTTTCCTCGCAATGCTTTTCTTTGTTTTGTTTATGTGTATTGTTGTTGTTTAGTTTGTTTGTGTGTGTGTGTTTTTTTTTGTTTTATTTTCATGTGGTTTTTAATGTTTTTATCAAAATTACAAAAATTCCATTTGAATCGGAATATAAGGTATATATGTATGTATATATATTAAATGTCTTGTTGGAAAAAATCGTATCAAATGGCAACATTGTTCACTATATAATAGACCTGCAAAAAATTTCATTTATTTTTCATTTGTTTACATTTATATACTCTTCTTCTACCACTCCCATTTTTTTTTTATTTTTTTATTTGTATTATTCTTTACTGCTGTTTATTTTAATTAGTTGTAGTAGTTGTAGTTTGTATTTGTTTTTGTTTTTGTAAATTTGTAGTTATGCATAGATATTTATGATTTTTTTGTTTCTTTTCTTTTATAATATTAGTTACGAGTTATATATTCATAATGAAGTTGTTTTTGTTTGTTAAAGTCTCTTCTTTGTTTGTCTGTGGCTGCTTTTTGCTTATTTTTGCTTTAAACTTTATTTTAGTTTATTTTGTAGTATCGCTTATTTTATTCCATTTGTTTGATTTACTTGAGGTTTACATTTATCAAAAAAAAAAAGAAGTATAAAAACAATAATAAAAAACAAAAACGAAAAAAAAAAAAACAATGCAAAAATTTGAAATAAATATTTTGTTTCTGTATATTTTATAAAAATCCGCTTAGTTAGCACATACTTAAAGTATTTTCCAATTTTTTTTTAGTACGTTTTTCCATTCTCCTTTTGTTTTTCTTCTTCGATATTATGCTATAAAAATTGCTGTTTTTTTGTTTTCGATTTTATTTATATAACTTATGCTAATTGAATTAAGTTTTAGTACATTGATTTAGCATTTTGCAAGTCCTTTTTTTTTTTTTATTTTTTGTTTTCATTTCTTTTCTTTTTTTCACGCCAGCGCCTATGGCACATTTCTTATCAAGCATAGCATTTATATATATATATTTATATATGTATATATACTTTTTTTTTATTATTATTTTTTTACTTAATTTTGTTTTCAGTGTACCTATATAATAATAGTATCTAAAAAATAGCTTCATGTATTTTATATAAATTCAGTATTTGTTTTGATGCAAGCTTTAAAAATTGGCATTTTTCCATTAGTTTAAATTTTAGTTAAATAAGCAAACACATACACATACACATGCACATACACTTACACTTTTACATATAGAAAAGTCAATGTAAAATTCTATTGCATATATATGCTCTTCCCAAATTTCATCTTCATTTTATATGCCAGAGCAAAAACAAAATGCAAATAATACAATTTAGCATTCTAATCATGATAATAATAATAATACAATTTGCGAGCTGAGAACATAGTACTATATTCCTATTAAAGTATGCTGGCAGTCGGGCAGTCATCAAATCCATTCATTATAGGACAGACTTTTTCGATCATCTTCTGTTTTTTGCTTTTAATTGTGCCATCAATTTATTTAGTCATATCTGAACGAACAACTGTTTAAATAGCCTCGCCTTGGTCCTAGCATGCTGAATACGAGCCGAGTTCTAGGCCATATATGCTCCAGCTTAGCTATATTCTTGTTAATCGTTACAATCATTCAATATTCTTTCAAACATTATATATATTGCGCATCGAACGAATCACATCGCTATATTTCTATTAACTGAATTAGAAACAATTACATTCGCATTTAAGCCCGATCTCGAAGGGTTTTTCTGTCAGTTACGATGGAATTTTGACATCAAATATATTTTTAAAGCAAACGAAGTATACCATAGTTTTTTCTATTGGTAAAACTCTTTGCAATTTGAACAATTTTGCCAAGGACATTGTTCTGCAAGAGTTCTGCAAGGCTACTCACAGTGAACTATAATAGTATGTATATATTTCGATTTGACTGCACTTTCATCATTTGTTGTACTTAAACATAACAAAGTTAAATTACAAAAGCTAGATGGCTGACATAACATATTCATATTGTATATATAGATATGCCCATATATAGGTATTATCAGCAACATTATTAACTTGGCTTTGCGTTCCATTGTGCTGATTATATCTGTGTGAAGGGGGACGGGGGAGAGAGTGATGGTTAGATTTTGCGCTAAAATTATACAACAAAATGCAAAACATGGCAAACCAGTTACAAATTACAGTTACTCGTTACTCGTTACTCGCTACTCGTTACTCGTTACTTGTTACAGCTACTCGTTACAATTTGATTTTGGTTCTGTTCTGTTCTAGTTGATTGCTGGACATGAAGAACCATTAGGAACGCCTGCTAAATACCAATACAAATCGAAAAGAAATTTACAAATAAAAAAAAAAAAAAACTAAACTAAACAAAGAATAAACAGTTATTAGATTTAGTTATTGGCTGCGGTCTCTGTCCAGATTTGCAGTAAGTACAATTCCAAAACATATAGGCAGCGATAATATGCAAAGCGAAAGCAATTTTTAATGACATTCTCTATGTATGTTTTTATCTATATATATATGTATATATAAGACTTATATATTTATATGCATATGCACTTAGTATGTATAGTCGTATATCAACTTATTTGTATATATAATTATGTATATGATGCATTAATTGATTAATAGTTGTATAAGGCTTGCTTGCAACATAGTTTTTTTTTTCTTTTTTTTTTTCATTTTATTCCATGGTGTTTCCCAGGCGCATTTAATGCACGGCATCAAAAAATTAAATCAAAAAAAATTGTTAACAATCAAAAAATATATATATATATATATATAAACAAGTTAATGCAAATGCAAATGAAAAAAAAAAATTGTATTTCTATATAGGCATACATATATATTGTTTATATAGTACAGAACAAAACATTGTGGCTCGTTTTCTTTTTTTTTTTTACAATCTAGCAAGCTTAAACATATTTTGTTTTGAAATTTCTTAATTTGATTTTGCAATTTATTGTAAACTATTCGAAATGTGTGCGGCAGCTGTTTCGTTATAATATTAACTAAACGATTATTGAACATAATCAACAAATATACATATTTATATTTTGTTATAGTGTGTGTGTGTGTGTGTGTGTGTGTGTGTGTGTGTGTGTGTACATGCCCTTGTCTCAAATAAATAGTTGTTATCTCTAAGGAATCTCCAGTATGTATATAAATATATTATATAAACATATTGGATCTCAAATTCCTCAACTGAACTAAATTGCGGTTTTCTTTCCATTTGCATTTAAGTATTTCTACAGCGCAGTTCACTCGAATAGTTACACTGCCAAAAGGGAAATACTACACGTTTTTGTATAATAGGTACAATAGGACAGACGGGATGGATTTGGATTTGGATTTTAGCTGCGAATACACCCAAATTGGAAACTTATCAAAACTTAATGAGCATTTCTTTTAGCTTAAGTACTAAATAAATATGTGCTATGAAAATTTACGTTTCTTCGTTAAAACATTTGCAAAATAGACAACAAAAGTTGCAGCCAATAATACATTCGAATTGAAGCAATCAATTTTGAAAACCGCAAATATTGCAACAAAGTAAACAAATAAAATAATAAAATAACTGAATTTCCTAAAAAAAAAGTTTTCTATTGGGCAAATTGTAGAAATATTTTATTTAAATATTAAGTTTGCGTTCAATTTTGAACATTTTAATTAGATTAACAACTATTTACTATTTTTTCTTTAATTCAAAAAGATTTGTGTCAAATGTGATCCAACAATAGAAAATGAAATTAAAACATATAAAAAATAATGATTAAAATAATAATCAGACAAATAATAATGAAAAATGAATAATAAAAATAGTAAAATAAAATTATATCAAATTTATAAAAGTAAAGCTCATTAACTAAGGATAAGCATTGGGCCCATATATTCTTAACTAAATTGATAACAAACCAAAAATGTTACCTTCTGCTCATAAAAACCGAAACTTTCTTTTAAAGTTTGAACACATATTTAAGCAGTGCACCTATTCAAATGCACAGCGCTGTACGTGCAATCGTACAGTCAGTATTATGCAAGTTTAGAGAGAAAAACTTTGGCCGCACACATCAAAAATAGGCTAAAGAAGCTGAACTGAATATATAATACTTGAGAAGTGGGCGTGTTGACGCCCCCAGACTTATGTACTAGTATTTAGGGTTGTGTTTCGCTTTTTTTTCGCTCTTAGTTAGGAATTTGTTTTTGCACTTAAGTTTAGACACGTAGAAATTGTTGTTGTTGTTGCAGGATCGTTGAAGCCAGGAGATCCGAAATGAATGAGAGAGAGAGAGAGAGAGAGCGAGACCGTGGCACCTGCAGAGAGCAAGAGAAAGAAAGAGAGTGAGCTAGGCCTTGGACTGAATGGAATGGAATGGAATGGAATGGGGTGTCTACTCACTGCACTGGCGACAACTCTGCTGGAGCGAGGATCTCGCTGTATCTAGACACGATGCGTCAGATGCGTGGAATCGCTTCGTTTGGGCGGCGGCGGCGGTGGACGCTTTTTGCGCAGCGCCGCTGTTGCATCTGCCACAGCCGCTGGCGGCGGCACTGGCGGCGGACCAGCTGCATCCACTGTGGTTGTGGCATTGTTGTTGCTGCTGTTGCTGTTGCTATTGCTGTTGGTGGTGTTGCTGGTGCTGGTGCTGGTGCCTCCCGCCCCATTGCTCTGGGCATGGACATTCTCGTAGAGCGCATACTCGTTGTGCGCATATTCGTAGTGCTCCTGCACCCAGTGACTGACATTGGCCGTCTCGCGATAGTAGTGCGAGGAATTGGCGCCCGAGTTGAGATTGTGGGCGGCAAGCAGATCCTCGTTGTTGAAATCGCGAAAGCCGAGCACCTCGTGCGGCGTTGTTGCCGGCTCCAGTTTGCATTTCTGTGCCACCTGCCACTTTTTGCGCATCACACGCTGCAGATCCTTGAGGAAATCGCGCGGCGGATTCGATGCCGATTCCTGCAGACGCTTCGGCGATGTCACCACATCGCTGCCGTTCTGGCTGCAGCCGGACAGCCGCGACAGATCGGTGCGTGGCGGCAACAGCGGCCCGGGCGAGTAGATAGGCTGCGGCTGATAGCCGGGAATCCCACCGACGCTGACGCCGGTGCCGGCGCCAATGCTACCGTTGGAGCCTGTGCTGAGCGTTGTGCTGGGCGCACGCATCGGCAACTGCGGCTCCGGTGAGCACATCTTGCGGCGCAGCAGCACCGGCGAGTCCGCAAACGAGACCTTCTTTTGCACGGGCGCCGGCAGCGGCGGCAACTGGACGACTGCAGCGCCTGCAGCGACGCCGCCCAGGCCGGCGGGTCCCACATAGTCGGGCGGCGCTTTGTAGGGTGGCGCCGCTTTTAGCGTTTGCTTCACAGCGGGCTTCATCGGCTTTGCGGGCACCGCGGGCGGCAGTGTGCCATTGCTATTGGGCATGACTATGCCCATGCCCATTCCCATGCCCATTCCCATGCCCATGCCCAAGCCCATGCCTATGGGCATGCCCATGCCCATGGACATGGGCGTTGGCGTCAGTGGCGATGTGGGCTCCACATAGGCCAGCACCTCCTCGGGCGGCGGCGGCGGCGGCAGTGAGGCCAGCGATAGCTGTGATCCGTACACATCCTGCTCGTCGGCATGCAAAGCGGGTGGCGGCGGCGGCGGTGGCAGCGAGTCCAGCGACAATGTGGACGAGCACATGAGCTCCGCATCGCTGAGACCGGGCGGCGGCTTAGCACAAATGCTGGGTGTGGGCGTCGGCGTTGAATTGCTGGACGACGAGGAGCCGCCATCGTTTGTCGCCGAGCAAATCACCTCACGCTTGACCGCCGCACTGACCGCCACGACCGGTCGACGCTTGAGCGTGCCGCCGCTGCTGCCGTTGCTCTCCTGCGATTTGCGGCGACTGTGCCGTCGCGTCAGTGTGCCGCTGCGCTCCGGCGAGGCAGCCGATTCGGCGACCGATGTGGCGACTGCTGTTGCCACCGCCACGGGGCCGGTGATTATTTCGCCCACTTCCTTGAGCTGACGCGTCATTGTGGTCAGCGGCAGATTGGGCTTCATGGAGGGTTTACGCTTGATGGTGCCGGTGGTGAACTCCGAATCGAAGGCATTATTCTCATCCGACAGGCAGCCACTCGAACTGGAGCTGGAGGCGCGCGAGATCCGGCCGCTGCTCGAGTTCGACATGCTGCTTATGGCCGAGGAGACGCTGCCGCATTGCGATGGCACCGCCGACGAGATGCTGCTAATCGATTCGCTGCGCATCGAGGCTGCAAAGCTGCCGCTGCCGCCCGTGCCAGCGCCCGAGCACAGCTCCTCCATGAGCAGCTTGTGATTGTGCCACAGCTGTTTGCCATATTTACAGATGCGTATGGCGGTCAGCCAGCGATCCAAGGTGCCGCCATCCTCGGCACAGAGCATTTTCAGCGAGCGACAGGATTTGCCCAGCGACGAGTCCGCCGCGGACTTGAAGCCAAATGTATAATCTGTCGGAGATTTGTATTTCTTGCGCCAGCCCATGCCCGTATAGACATTGTGGCCGCTGAAGAGCGTCAGGCAGGCGAGATCGCGTGTGTTCTTCGTCTTCTCCTTGGGGAAATAGTAGAGGCCGGAGGAGCGCAGCACGAAATGATGACGCTTCCAGGCCTTCTTCGGATCGGCCTTCATATAGAGCGGCCCGTCCAGCTGCAGCTGGGCGTGCGTCTCAAAGAACTCCTCCAGCAGCATGTGACGCGTCTGATCATCATGCTGCGAGCCGGGCGCCATCTGTGGCCCCGGCAAATAGAGCTCGGGTTTGGCAAATAGCGCCACCTTATCCGGACGCTGCTGGAACAGCACACGATTGCCGGCATCCGAATTCCATGTCATCAGATTGTCCACCAGCAGCTCATGATCCTCAAACAGACGCTCTGCAACAAAGATGACAAACTTGAATTCTTGAACCAATTCTTCCTGGCCACAAGCAAAATGTATGTGGGCAATTCCAGAGCCAAGACTCGACATCTGTTCACAACAGCCGCTAATCTCAGCGGGAAACGGACAAGTATTTTGCAGTGGAATAAGATTCTTCCATTCTCTAGAGACCTACTTCCTTATAGTTCTATCAGATCTCGCCTAGCACTAGACCCAAACGTCTTTTAGACCTCGTTCGTGCCTCGGACTGGAGCCAAATGGGTCTCTCGCGGACGAACTGCTTCAAGTAGCAAGATTTTGTCTTGAAATGGAGACACGTTTTACGTGACAAGCAAAATGGAAATTGATTTTCATTTGCATCTGCGATGTAAACTTTTTTCTCAATCGAAAAAAATGCACTTGGCTTCAAATTAATAATTATATCTTTATATAATTTGTTTGCTTTATTTATTTTTTTTTTTTTTTTTTGGATGCAAGCGATAAAATTAAACGCGACGTTTCACACATTACGTGACATATTTTTATATAGTCTATGCCCATTGAAAAAGTTGCAACAGGCGGACGGAGGCATCCAAGAAAGCTTCTACAATCTTGGCCATTAAAAATGGCTAAAAGGGGTATAATGTATTTGTGCAAATGTATGTAACAGGCAGAAGGGAGCATCTCCAATTCGATAAAGCACATATATTCTTGATGGGCATCAATAGCCGAGTCAATCTAGACATGTCCGTCCGTCTGTCCGTCCGTCTGTCCGTCCGTCTGTCCGTATGTATGAACGCAAGGATCACCCAACCTATAAGAGTTAAAGACCTAAAATGGTATCTAGCTCCTTCTAGTGCCCGCGCAGTACGAATTCCGATAATCGATAACTTGCAACGTTTCCAAGTAATCGATAAAAATCGGTTTTTTGAGCAAATCTCGTTAGTTATAATAGCTAGAGTCACCAAACTTGACATGTCGCTTACATATATATATATATAATATATATATATATATATATATAATAGTATATATATATATACATATATAATAGTATATATATGTATATACATATCCAGTATATTTTCTTTATTATTTGATCCATTCGTCTGTCTGCCTGTCTGCCTTTCTATCTCGCGTCAATCACAAGCGTTACAAGATTATCACTTGCGTATATTTTCTTTTCTGTGGCTGGCTTAGCTCTACTCTTGTGGAACTGCTCATATACTTTGCCTTTGCTATCCACTCACCCATTTGCAGATCACCCAAGTGCTCGACCAGCGCCCACGTGGGCTGCATCTGCACATGATTCTTGTCGGCCAGCAGGCGCGTCACATGGCCGCAGCCCATGCGTTCATCCACGAGCAGCGACTTGGACGCACCATCGGATGTGAAGGCCTTGACAAAGAGACGCCTTACCGAGGCGCTCTCGAGCTTGTGCAGCGCCAGTTGTATTTTGGCTGCCTTTGTTGAGGACTGCAGCGGCTGCTGATGATGTTGCTGCACCTGTTGCTGTAAATGTACTTTCTGCTGTTGCAGCAGCTGCTGTTGCTGCTGCAGTTGCTGTTGCTGCTGTTGTTGCTGCTGCAGCTGTTGTTGCAGCTGTTGCTGCTGCTGTTGCTGCTGCAGCGAGGTGTTGGACGAGGCGGACGACTCGCTGGAGAGCAGCGAAACGGTGTCACTAAATGCCGAATCATTGTCCGGCGATTCGGTGCGCGGCTCACGTGGCGTCACAACGCCCAGCGTGATGCCCATGGTCATGTGTCCAGCGGTGATGCCCATGACTCCAATTCCTCCGCCTCCGCCTCCGCCTCCACCGCTGCCGACGCCGTTGCCGTTGCCTGCAGCAGCACTGAGGCCAATGCTGCTCGGGCCATTGCCATTCTCTGAGATGCCCGACGAGGAGGATGTGGTGCTTACATCGCCGGATATGCTGCTGTTTGTGCGTGAATGTGTGCGCGACGAGGCGGCCGATATGGAGGCCAGGCCAGGTGGCGGCGGTGGCGGTGGCGTAGCCAAACCTCCGCCAATATTAGGACCAACATTGGCACCGACACCGGCGGCAGCTGCCACGCCGGGCAGAAAGCTCGCCTCACCGTAGCTGATCTGGGCCTCGAGCAAGCTCAGCTCGCCGAGAATCAGATCTAGTTCGGACTCTTGTGTATCCTCCAAATTGGCCATGGAGATGCGATAGGAGGCGTGCGTTTTGGCGTCCGGCGTCGTTCGTTCGCTGTGCTTGCGCAGTTTGACGGCGCCAGCGCCGCTCGAATTATCCCCAACGCCCAGCAACTTGTGCTGTGGACTCCCGCTGGTGACTGCACCAATTGCCTCCGATCCTTCGCTGGCAGCGCTGCCAACGATGATCCCCTGGCTTATCCCCTGACTTATCTGCAAAGAATCGAACACAAGAAACACAATTACAAATAATTCAAATCGAGTCTAAATCAACAACGAATGTGAAGCTAGATAAAATATACTATAATATATATATACTATAATTGAGTCCAATTTGAAACGGCTGCCAATTGAAATTAGCTTACAAAGGGTTCAAAATTATTCTTAAATAGCATATATGTTGATTTAAGCGCACTCGGATGCGGCTCAAGCCCTTTTTGACTCAGGCTTACAGCCTAAATTTGCTTGAGAATGGCTTAAAAGCAGCTAAAAATATATTTTTAAACAAAACTGAAAATAGTTTTCAAATATTTTTAACAATAAGCCACTTTCAGCAGGTTTAAGCTAGATCGCCTTTTGATTGCATCAATTATAAACGGATTAAGTCCCAGTTTCGACCTCAAAGTTGGTGACATAATTTCATATTTTCAAATTGGCTTAAAATATAAATGACAAGAGAGTCGGAAGATCCCAAACAACTTCTCTAAGTCTTATAGGTTCTGAGATCCATACATACGGATAGACGGACGGACAGATTGACGGACATGTCTAGATCGACTCGGCTATTGATGCTGATCAAGAATATATATACATTTGCACAAATACATTATGCCCCTTTTACCCATTTTTAATGGGTTCAGGGGAAGGGAAATGGAAAATGTGGTTCAAGAATTGACAAAGCATCAAAAACTGTCTGAAAAGCGTTTAATGAGTTGTTCCAAAAATTGGTTTTAGAAGTGATTCGACAACAGTTGTGCTTCAAAATGGGATTTAAATTGGAATAAAGTGGCGCAGAAGCGCGCTTTAACAGTTTTTTTTTTTTAAGTACCTCACAAAAAAAATGCCCGCTGCAGTTAAAAAACGATTAAAAGTGAATCAAAAGCACTTTAAAGACGAATTTGAAAATGGGTTTAAAGTAGTTGAGAGTGTTCAGCCTTCTATTTCTGAAAGTTTCGCCAGCCAGATGGACGCAATTCGTAAGCTGATATACGTATTTATTTGTTTGTAAATATTTGAAATTCAGGCCAGATTCGCAAGTGTTACAAAATGCAAGGAAAGGTGTTGCTAAACAAAAAAAAAAAACAGTTGTTAATAAAATAAGAAAGGGAATGGATTGAAAGTGAGGGCGTTGCAAAGCACGCCAAAAAAAAAATAAAGAAATGATGAAAAAACAACTGACTGGCGGCATATGGTTTATGTGCCTAATGAATTGCCCGTTGGACAGTGTTCCCCGGCCCAGCCCCCTTGCTGCCCCGCAGCTAGCCGCCACGCCACACTGTTGGCCATAATCAGCGCACAGTTTTTTGGTACGTGCCCAGGTCTCGATCGCGGCTCAATCGCAGCTGCATCGAGTCGAGCTTCAGTCGAGCTGCAAACACGTTACACATTTCCGTTTGAGCGGCAGCAACCAATAACAACAACAGCAACAACAACAAAGGCAAGAGGAACAACAATAATAATCAAAGCTGAGCCGCTGCAGCTCAACCCGCCGCCCCTCTGCTAGTCAGCCCCTTGGTGATTGGCATTATTCCAGCTGCAGTCGCAGTCGCTGATAGTTGAGCGCTTTTTATCGCCCAAAGTTGTCGCTTAAGTCTCCGCAGTTGTTGTCGTTGTCAGAGTTGGCAAGTGTTAAGTAATTCTCCTATACATAAGTCACGTACTAACGACTACGACTGGCAGCTAGCCAGAGCGAGAGCTAGAGGGAAGTTAAGTGAGAGCAACAGAGAGGTAGAGAGAAAGAGAGAGAGAGAGAGAGAGAGCTGCGAGAGGAAGTCGGCGACTGGCAGGAAAAAGGAGCTACACACAGATTTGGCTAGACTCGACACGACTTTCGTCACGTTGCAACAACAACAACATAATTATAATAATATTTATACAGCTGTAACTTTCCTAGGAAAGAATATTATCCGACGACTCCAAGAGCAAACCATTCACTAAAAGAAAACTTCTCACAAGAAAAACAAACTTTGTTGTTGTTGTTTTTGTTGCTCTTTGGGCAGAGCATCGCGATGAGTCAAGCGGTTAGGAACCTGTCCATAGTTATCTATCTATCTATATTTAATTATTTATTATTGCTCGACAAAAGCGAGTGTCGTTCTAATTATTTATGACAGCAAATTATGAAAATTAAATGCTAAAAGCCTAATTAGAATACACAATTTTCTAATAGCATCACCGACACGATGAAGGTGTTTTATTTGCCCGTCCGGCCAGCTATGCTCCTTTTCCCGGATAATTTTGTCAGTAACGTTATTAGAGCCCACAGCTAAGCAGGAAGGTGTTAGTAGAGAAAATAGTGTTCTTAATATATATGTATATGTATATTTAACTCCTAAGATAGCGTCTTTTAAATTCCACATCGGACTTGACGAAAAGAGAGCTCAAATCAAGTTATGAATCAGATTCTAACTATGATAAAAGACACACTTTGATAATTATTAATTATAATCGATTAAATTTATCGATTTAGAGAAGAACCAGCTTCAAATCCCAGACAAAGAAGCTTTCGACAACTAGAAAAAGACCTGGAATGAAATCGGATTATATTCCCATTCTATTCGTAAGATAGATAGATAGATACCATAAAGTCTCGCATATTGTTTGGGTTTGTTTCTCTTACAAAGAAATAACGTGAATGTAATAAAAGTATTATATTGGTTAAGTAATTAAAATGGGTTTAAATGGTTTCTCCTCCTATTACGCGACAGAATTCTTTTGAACTTGAAGATCTTCAAAGAACTCAAATTGAGATGTTAAAGGGGCAGATAATATTATGTTGAGCATTTGTAGACAACGTCTTGAGCCAAAACCATGAAGCTTGGGTTAGTTTCTTCTCTCAAAGGAATGAGAACTCTGATAATGGGCTGAGTTACTCATCCAGCTAAAAAGCTCCTCACCATAGGTCTTACGAATGGAAATGGGTTTTCTACTATTGCCTCAGAAAACTTGGCAGTGCGACTACTTAAAAAGCGCATTCTGTAAATAATGTTCTGGCAGAGCCTGACTTATGTATCTTTCGCCTTGTAGAACTTGAAAGACAAAGTCAATACTTCTGAGAGTTTTATGGACTTACTTCACTTTGGTCGAGTGTTTGGATAAGTGATGTATTTGACACACACACAGACGAAGGTTTGTTGTGATTTACCGCTTGACGGCATGATTGGAGCTTGGAAATGTTTAACAGGTAACTGACAACAGCCAACGACGAGAGTCGCTTGGCGGTCGAGTGAGTCACAAAGATTTTTGGAGGCTTAGCGGTAATTGGCACTTGCTGACATGACATGACTGACTGACTGACTGACCATCTCTCTCCCTCTCTTTCTCTCTCTCTTTTCGAATTGCTGTCTAGTTCTGTGCCATCAGTCATCGAAGTGGCGCATTGCAGCACGAAGGGCAGCTGAAGCTGCAGGCACACAAGCTGATAAAATCCAGGGACGCACAAAACGGAAAGAATATACATATATAATATATATATATATGTATATATATAGAGAGAGGGGATAAGCGTACATATGGGAAGTGGGCGGGGGTAAGGGTATGGGGCACGAGGTCGCTCCACAATGGATCGGTTGGACGACTGCGTTGATTTATGGGTTCAAGTGTGCTATAAACTGTGCGTGTGCGTGTGTGTGTGTGTGTGTGTGTGTGCTGCATGTGTGTGTAGTACATGTGTGTGTGTGAGTGTGTAGTGCATGTGTGCGTGTGTGTGCTTTGGTGGCATTGCTTTTGACTATTGCCATTACCAATTTTAATTTTCTGTAGGCAGACCCAACCCTAACTCCGGCTGCGACGACCCCGCTGCGACCCTGCTCTCCATGCGTTTGCTTAAAGTTCAATGACAGCTTCTGTTACAACAACAACAACAACAGCAACAACAACAACAACAGCGGTTATTCTAATTGAGTTGCATTGACAAACACAAATACAACAACAATAAGTACAAAAGAAATGCCTTTGACGAAAGTATTAGACGAGTGCATACCCTGTAACAAGCTGAACAGTAGCTTTCAAGTTAACTTAATCATAATTGAAGAAGTCGGCAAATCAATAGCTTTTATAAACTCTCGCCCCTTAACCTCTAGAAAATGCATTTGCAAATTGTTTTTGCTTATTCCATTTGGCGAGAAGTCAGGAAAGTTTTCCTATAGATTAGGATATATTGGTTGCATACCTTAGACTAGACTCTAGTAGCTCCAATTGTTGCTGAGTTCACAAATGTTGATCAGCATGGAGTATATCGAAAGGAGGCTGCCAAACGTGCCTCGCTCTTTTAATGTTATCATTAATAAATTTCTTTTGAAAATTTAAAATAGAGTGCAAATAAGGTATATCCACGACTGCATCTCAAATTTGCCAAGCCTAGGCTCGACTGCACTTGGCCGCTATTTATACGCATGTATAATAACACCCTGTTGGGCCATTCAATGGTTTACAGGGTACAAAAACAAGCTAAACTCCATCAGCAGCGGCATCGAGCGCCACACACATTGAGGTCGCGGCGCAGTTGTACTGTGATCTCTTGTTAGTTTACGACCTGCTATTTGCATAGTTTATATGATGTCTATGCCAGTTGCTGTTGTTGTTGCTGTTGTTGTTGTTGTTGCTGTTAAGGTACCAATGCGAGTACATCCATTTGTGGGCTTAGATACTCAAGCGACTCGCTCGCAACTAAGTGCCAACTCGAACAACAACAAAAACAATGCTAATGCACTTGGGCACATTCTACTTGTCTGGTATTTCCCCGCCCGTGTCCACACTTTAGATCTTGACTAAGATCAACAAGAGAAAGCCAGAAAGAACTTTGAACTCAACTAAATCTTGACTGCGATCGATTGTTATTCTGCTTCTACCAGTTGTTGCAAATACCCAACTATTATCATTCAACTATTTGTGATCACTGGAAAAACAATTCTTGACCAACGGCGATCGCATACTGTTTGCTCCATTTGCTGTTGCAGCTGCTCACCTTCGGGCGTGATCTTGGTTCAATGTTTT